TGCATCTAGGTCAATTAAAAGAAGCATAAAACATCTGCTATTTTTAATCCAAATGTATAACGGTTATTTTTACATTTTCATTGCTTTATAAGAGGAACAACATCTAATATTCACTCCCAAATATATTTATACAATTAATGCTCTTTAACCATTTGTTTGATTGAAGAACATGCCACATAATCAGTAAATTTGATTGAAGAACATGCCACATAATCAGTAAATTTGTTGTATTGTAAATGTATGTATTTGTTTAAAGCATTTTAATAAAGATTTTGGAGCTTGGAATGATTTTCTAGACCAGTGGTTCCCAAACTTTTTCAGTTCACTGCCCCCTTGGTGCTACAAACTTATCCTTGGCCCCCACCCAGGGGTGGGATTCAAATTTCTGTGGGCGTGGCCTAATTTGAGGGTATAGCTTGCTGTCACGTGACTGGGTGGGTGTGGCTTGCTGGTCATGTGACTGGGTGGGTGTAGCTTCCTGGTCACATGACTGGCTGGGCATGGCTTGCTGGTCATATGACTGGGTAGATGTGGTTTGGTGGTCATGTGTCTAGGTAGGCATGGCCAGGTGACTGGCTGGTTGTTTAGCAAGTGTTCTAATTTATGACTGGCCTCTCCAGAGATACTTGACCTGTTTTTGGAGTTTTGACAGCCACGCATACACATGCACACACACTCCCTTCTAACCCTTCTAACCCTGCTGGAGTAGGTCATTGGACTAGAATCGGCAAAGCATCTCTGATTAGATTCTAGTAGTGAATAAAATCTAATCAGAGATGCTTTGCCGATTCTTGTTGATTTGTTTTATTTGTATCTCTTTATGTTGCTGAATTTTATTGACATGTGTGTCCCTTCTTGTGCACAACCCAGAAGCTTTTGTGATTCTTTGAAGCAAAAATTACTGACCTCTGGCTTTGCTCTACTTTTCAAATGTGCTGCCACTGCTGCGTTCTAGATGCCGGCCCTGCAGGTCCACCCCATTGAGCCCACTGCACTGGAGGGACCTACTCAAGCAAGTCAAGTCAATGGGGTGAGCCTGAGAGAGGGAAAGAGAGAGAGAGAAAAGAGAGAGAAAGAGAGAAGGAAGAAAAGAAAAGGGAGAAAGGGAAAGAAGGAAAAGGGGACAAAGAAAGAGAGGGGGATGGAAGGAAGGGATAGAAAGAAAAAGAAATAAAGAAGGAGGGAGGGCGGGAGGAGAAAGAGTATGAGATATCTATTCTAGTCCAATCACCTGCTCCAGCAGGGTTAGAAGGGAGTGTGTGTGTGTGTGTGTGTGTGTGTTCTCCTTGTAACTTATCAGTACATTTTAGTTTTTGCCTTCAGAACTGTAATACATTGGGGAAAAATAATTTTTAGGGTGGAGATCTGGTCCAATGGATCCTGTTTAAAGCCTCAACAAAATGTGAGAGCTTCCTGATAGTCTTGACCATGTTTCGTCCACAAAACCTTTAATAGAAGCCAAAGATGTTTCAATGTGCTGGCAAAGATGTTACAGTGTGGAAAAGGACCTCAGTCTAAACTCGGCCTCATTTCAATCTGATGCAACAGCTCTCTCTCTCTCTCTTTTTCTCTTTTTCTTTCTCTCTCTCTCTCTCCCTCCCTCCCTCCCTCCTCCCTCCCCCCCCTCCCTCCCTCCCTCCCAGACTGGCTTTGCTCTACTTTCCTGATGTGCCTGCGGGGCTGGCACTTCGAACATGGATGGATGGATGGATGGATAGATGGATGGATAGATAGAGAGAGACAGAGAGAGACAGGTAGGTAGATAGATAGGTAGATAGATAGGTAGGCAGGCAAGCAGGCAGGCAGACCTTTTGGATGACTGTATGAATAGGTAGGTAGGTAGATTGGTAGGTAGGTAGATTGATAGATAAGTAGGTAGGTAGATCTATATTGGTAGGTAGGTAGGTAGATAGACAGAAAGACAGGCAGGTAGGTTGGCAGGAAGGAAGGCAGACAGACAGACCTTTTGGATGCATGGATGGATAGATAGATCTATATTGGTAGATAGGTAGGTAAGTAGGTAGACAGAAAGAAAGCAGGCAGACAGGTAGGTAGGCAGGAAGACAGGCAGACAGGCAGACCTTTTGGATGGATGGATGGATGGATGATGGACGGACAGAAAGAATGCGACAGCACTTTGGGAAAGTAGAACAAAGCCAGAGTGGGAATTGAAGTCCATACTAGTTGCCAAGGTTGAGAAACATGGATATATCAACCCAGCCATTCTGGTTAGAGTTTAGCATGCTGTTTGATTCTGGCTTAGTCAATAAACCATGGTGAAGTTCTTCCTGCTCCTTAATGCAGCTGCCCCTCTGTCCCTTCTCCAGCCTCAGTTCTTTCTTTGGCATCCAATTTTGTAATGCAAATCTCCCTGAGGCAGTTATGCGGCTGACTTCACCCTCTTTGTTGCGACCCAAGGTCCACTTCCATCAGGCCAAGCAAGGGGAGGTGCTCTGCACATGCTCAGAGACTCCCAACTTCAGGGAAGTGCTCCACCCATGTTTATACTCTGCCTGGGAGGAGGAAGTCGTGAGGAAGCAGCCTAGACCGGCGGAGGGGAGGCGGAGGGAATGATCACTTGGAAAGCAAGCAAGCAAGCGCACGGCTCGGTCAGAAGAATTGGGCTGCAGAGGGAGGCTAGGTTCTAGGTCCGGGCTGGCTGCATAGAGCCAAACTGAACTGAGCCACATGCCTTGGAGAGCCGCAGCTGCGCCCACATGCATCCTGTGCGCAAGCCCGGCTGGCTGGAGAGGTGGAGTCTGGGCAGGTGCTGCGCACTCCCTTGTTTTCCTCTGTGGAAGGTGGCTCTAATACTGGACTACCCACCCCTTCCACTGCGTGCCTTGGGAGGGTTTTGCTTTCAGGCCTTCTGGCATGCCTCTGCTGCTTCCACCAGAGAGGGCAGCCTGCAAGCTAAGGTGCCCCCTGTCCGCCACCTCCCACCTCTCCCCCCCAGGCTTGGCAAGGCTTGCCATGTGAGTTCCGCATTTGAGGTGCCGGCTACAGAGTGATTAAACAATCAATGGGTTGCATGGCTGGCAGTCAGTGAGCCTGCAGGGCCGGTGCTTTGAATTCCCCCCTGCCGCCTCTTAGTGCCCCCCTGCCAGCCTCCTTGCCTCTTAGCGCCCCTCTAAGGCATCCCACCGGTACTGCCCAAATTTGGGAACTACTGTTCTAGACTATTTTGTAATTCATAATATAGTAAACTAGTTGAATTTTTAATGCATCACTATTAATAAATCAGAAAGTTATTAGTGCTCATTTGAATTTTAAAAATGCTGCTTGGAAGAACAACTATATATTTAAAATTGTAAATAAAAAGAGAGTTCTAGTGTCATGTCTACTAAATTGTGAGATCACCAAATAATATGCAAATTTTCTAATTTCATTCCCGGGCTTTACATGCACTCTGTAGAAGGCAGCCATATGTAGAATAACAGACCATTGTCCATATCACATATGAGAGGCAGATTGTAGATGTATTTATGAAGTTGTTAAATATCTGTATTTTACAAAGTATGATATGTTGGGTTTTCCATTCTCCAAATATTGTACTTTTGGATACTATAAAATTATACTTGTAGAAGACTGTGATCTAAAAGATTTTAGTAACAAAAAGATTCATACATAATGACTAATTGGAAGTAATTTTGCTGTTAGTTTTGATTCTTGTGGCAAAAAGAATTAGAATTTTGAGTTTTGAAATGGACTTTACTTTGCTGATGGATTTTGTTTTGATGTCTAGAAAGAATAGGTTATAGCCATGATGGAGAACCACAGGTGGCATGCAGAGCCATTTGTGCGGGCATGCGAGCCCCAGGCAAACTTACCTGCACTGTGCATGCATATGCTTCCCAGCTAATTTTTGGCCTATTTGAAGCCGTTTTCGCCCTCCCGGAGGCTCTAGGCTCCAGAGGCTTCCCTTGAGCCCCCGGGAGGGCAAAAATGGCCATCCCGGGGCTCCAGAGGCCCTCCAGAGGCTAAAAGCGGGCACTTCCGGTATTTCCAGAAGACCAGTTTTATGGCCTTCCAAGGCTTCAAAGGCTTTCCTTAAGCCTCTGGGAGGGCAAAAATGCCCCCAAATGCACCGAAAATCAGCTGGGAAGCACGCATATGTGCAGTGTAGGTAAGGGGGGGGCACAGTGTTGTGCGTGCATATGCTGGGGGGCAGGGCACATTGCATTGTGGGTGCCAGCATGCATGGGCACTATTGTGCGCACGTGTGCTTTCGGCATACCACAACAAAAAGGTTCGCCATCACCGGGTTATAGAAAAGGGAATGTAGTCTTAGAGAAAGAGGTTTGATTAGAATTGTATGTATAACTGCTGAGAGGAAGATAGAAACCTGCTTTTTATATATTATCCTTGTATAAAGGTACGTACGTGTGTGTGTGTTCTTTTTTCTTTGCCTCTTTTTTCCCATTCTTTTTTCATATCTTTTTCTTAATTTTAAAATAAAAAATGGGCATTTTATTTGTATTAAAAATAGTTCCTTGGAGGTATTTCCAGTTTTATAAAAATGTTTCTTTTAAAAATAGTCCATTAAAAATCATTTTGCAAAAGCTGAGAAATTTCATCCAATGATAAAACTTCCTTTGTTTTTTTTAATTAGTTCTTATTTTTACTAGTTTCTAAATTTTTCTCATTTCAGATGAGTAATCCTGTCATAAAAATATACTTAAATTAATAGTAATATAATACACTAATACAAGAACCAGCTTGTATGACAGGAATGACAGAAAGATTAGTGTGAAAAGATTTTGCATTGTCCTGAGATCAAAATCTGATGGAGAAATAAACATATATAGTCATCAACTGCTAAAATATGAACTAAATTAAATAAGATATCTATTTTTAGGAAATGATCATTTGGAAATAGTTTGATTACCGGTATGTGAAAAAGAGATATGAAGGTATTTATAGAAGTTTAAGACATACTGTTGCTTGTGGAATTGTTATACTGTACTGATAAAATGTTTTCCTCCATTTTTTTCTTCTAGATATTTCCAGATGAAGAACAACAAATAATACAAACCATGGAAAAAATACTGAAAGATTTTGACAAAGGCCTGCAAGAAAGTATTTCTGATTTTGTGGATTTGAGTGGCAATTGCCAACAATCTTTTGAAGAGGTTTCTGTGAACCAAAGCTCTATGCATCTTCCACTTGATTCTCCGACCACAGGTATGTTTCTTTGTTTATTAGATTTGTCTACCCATTTGATCCCATTTGAAGATGACCCTAAATACAGATAATCCTCGACTTACAATAGTTCGTTTAGTGATTGTTCAAAATTACAACAGCACTGAAAAAAGTGATTTATGACCATTGTTCACACTTATGACCATTACAGCATGGTCACATGAATAGAATTCCAGATGCTTGGCAATTGACTCATATTTATGATGGTTGCAGTGTCCCCAGGTCATGTGACCACCTTTTCCAACCTTCTGATAAGCAAATTCAGTAGGGAAACCCGATTCACTTAACAACTATAAGGAGTCATTTAACAAATGTGATAAGAAAAGTCTAAAATGGGACAAAACTCACTTAACAAATTTCTCACTTAACATAAATTTTGGGCTCAATTGTGGTTATAAGTTGAGGACTACCTGTGTTAGCAGAAATATTTTGTAAATTATGTAAATACTGAAGGAAATATTTAGGAAAAGATAAAAACATTCATGATGCATGTTCTTATTCCTATAATGATTGCTGAATTATACATTTATGTATTTTGCTGACATATTACTTTAATTATTTTAACATTCATTTTCATGTTTTAAGAAGGAGGAATATTATGAGGGAAGCTGTTTGAAACTTATTTGAAAAAAGTTGTCGGTATCTTTTAAATTACAGATAGTTCTTGAGATATGATCGTAAGGGGGCCTACCCATTAAAGTTGCATTTTGTGACACCCATTAAGTAAAGCATCTCACTTGATGATTTTCCCCATCCCTGCTCCAATATAATAATTAAATGAACATACAGGTCATTTAATGGAGCATGGGCTGCCTAGGGATGGGGGAGACTTTTGGAAGACTAACACAGGTCTAGGCCAGCCTACTCAGGCCCTCCCAAGGCCCCCCCATTCCTGGAGAGACCTCATGCCCCTTGATTCCTGCCCCTTGGTTCCCAAAACGCCTTTTCCAACTGCCACTGAGTCCAACAAGCCTTAAGCTTGATTCCATTCCATCAGGTCAAACCTCTTCCTCCACTCCTTTTGAAGAGTTCTGAGGCCTTCTCAATCGAGCTGCTCCGAGCATCCAGAGAGTGGGAGGTGCTCTAGTCTTCACCAATTGCAGGCTGAGGTATAATTGAGGAACGCTCCTCCCACCACGTGGCTTCTCCATGCGTTCCCCAGTTTTTTAGCTCAGCCTTGCAAGAGACAGGCAGCTATAGATCATTCTCCTTGGCCGTTTCAGGATTTCTGTTTCACTTTCAGGTTTAATCGTTTCGTTTTGGCTTCTTTCCTTGGTCATTGCGCTTTTGGGTTTTAGTTGTGTGTAAAGGAGCGAAGTTTCGCCCCCTCAGGGGGGAGATAGAGGGGTTTTAGAGCCTTTGCTCCCCCCACCCCCCCTTCCCTCTTTCCTGCCCTTTCAAGCCGTTCCTGCTTTTAAGCAGAGGCTTGCTATCGTGCTCTCCTAGCGCGCGTTGTGTCTTCCCCCCACGAACGCCTTTCCTAGCCCTCATTTGTCCAGCTCAATCTTTTTAGCTGACTGCCTTTTTCTTAGGGCTATTCCGTCTCTGAGCCCTGCTTCCAGCCCGGTAGCCATTTTTAGGCGTGCCTCGTGGCGGGCGCCATTTTGCCCGGGGCTCAAATTGCTGCGATGTTGATAGAGCCCCATAGCAGGCCCTACAGGCCTGTGGGAGCTTTTATTTCAGAAGGGGTGTTGTGGCTTTGTGCCCTGTTGCCCCATTTTAATTGTTGGCATTCCGCAGCCTGCTCAGAGGCGAAGACAGGCACCTACTTCCCAGGTTGTTGGGAGGCAGCCTCAGAGGCCTTTACAATTTCTTTCCTGGTATATTTTTTCGTGTTTTAAGTTTGGCCTCAGCATTCATTTGGTTAAATTTGGTTGTTTAGAGATAGTTTTCTCATCTTAATTTTTCCCTATTTAAAAAAAAACAAAAAAACAAAACAAACCATTTATATTTTATTAATAATTTAGTTCCTTTTTTTGGTCGTTTGGTGCAGTTTTTTATTGTATACCCTTAGAGGTGTTTTTTTCCTTTTTCCAAAAAAATAAATATATATATATCGCTATCTAAAAATTTTTCCAAAAGGGGGACGTGGCTCAACTATAGGATACCCAGCTCCCATTGTGGACCGCATTCCTAGGCGTGCCAACCGCCTTCATATTCAATATACCTTGTTTCTACCTTTTGGTTATAATGGCAGAGGAAAATCCCAGAGGGCCTTCCTTGAAGGCTAAGTCTAAAACTCACCATCTGCGCAAAAGGGCCAAGGAACCTACCACAGCCTCTGAAAGGGACGCCCTGAGGCGCCACAGAGCTCTGGAAAAGGAGTTTGATAGACGCTCCAGGGACTCTCATTCTGTAATTCCAGCTTCTATTCCCTCTACCTCTAACCAACCTCCCCCTTTGCCAGAACAACCTTCTCTCTCCAGGCACAACACACCTGTCCAGAGCCCCCGGGCCACTCGAACTCCAGAGGCGACCTTCACCCCAACCGCTGCTGGCCTACGCCCAGAAGACCCTTCAACTAGCATCATCCCTGACAGCGTTAAGGAATGGATGCAGCTTGCCATCCGCCAGGGGATCGCGGAAGGTATGCAACAGTTGTCCAAGACAGCCTCTCAAGCAATAGCACCCGAGATTGATTCTGCCTCCGGAGAACCTCTACCCAGACCGGTGACTCTCCACAGCCAGGTACCTTCCCAAGGGGACCCTCCTTTCCCAGAAGGGGAGGAAGAGGAGGACGAGGAAGAGGAAATGGCCTTTGCACCCTACGGGGCAGAGGAAGGGTCAGAGAGGGGGTCCCTCCATTATTCTGAGCCCTTTTCCGAAGTGGAACTGCTGGAAGGGGACATGTCGGAGGATGAGGGCATCTCCCCCGACCAGCCCTCCCTTGTAGGCCTGTTCAAGCCTCATTTATTTAAGTCCTTGCTGTTCAAAGCAAAGAATATCTCAGGCCTAACTCCCCAGCCATCTTCTGATTCCTCGCCAGCAGCCCCTGGGGCTCCAGAGGATGCCATTTTCAGGCAGCCAGCGGTGGAGGCCGAAGTTGTGCCAGTCCCTCCAATCTTCTCCGATCTAGTGGCGAAACAGTTAGCCTCTTCCGGTCTCCCCTCTGCCCCCTCAGGGCAGGACAAGAGATTTTTTAATCTCGACGCAGACTTCTCCACCATGCTAGACACCCCCGAGGTGGATGACCTATTATCAGACTGGTATCCTCGTCTAACCCCACAGACGCTCTGGAAGCCTTAAGGCCGGAGGACAAGAAAGCGGAGATGGTGCTGCGTCGGGCGCACCAGTTTGATGCTTGGGCCATTCGGTCTGCCACCGCCTCATCCTTTTTTACTAGGTTGTCTATTAGGTGGCTTCGACAGCTGAAGCAGCATGTTCCTCCATCTAATACTAGGGCCCATCAAGATATTGCAAAACTAACAGCAGCAGCTGAGTTTGCGGCCGATGCAAATTTTCACTCGGTGCCATATCCTCTCATGTTATGGCCCGACGGCTGCTTTGGCTTAGGCATTGGCAGGCCGACATTAAAAACAAGTCGAAACTGGCCTCAGCTCCCATCTCCGGAAATAAATTATTTGGTCCGGCCCTGGAACCATTGTTCATGGAGAGCCAGAACAAAAAGAAATTTCTTCCGGCTCTTTTTCGTAGGCAAGAGTCCAGATCCTTTCAGCCCTTTCGAAGGGGCTCCTTCCGTACCCCCTTTCAAACTCCCTTCTCCCCCCATTATCAGAGATCTCCAACCTTTCGCCCGGCCTATCGAGACTGGGGCGATTCGGGAGACAGATCCAGAGGGGGGGGTAGTTACAGAAGACCCTTCCAGGGTTCGGCAGGTAAGACTCCCCACCTTCTAAGATAGGTTTTCAGCCCCCTTACCCATTGGCGGTCGCCTTAAATTCTTTGCGAGCCAGTGGGAAGCATCTACGTCTGATTCTTGGGTTAAAGACACGGTCCAATTTGGTTTTTCCCTTCAGTTCCAAGTCCTTCCACCTGAACACTTCATGGTTTCTCCCATTTCCAGGGATCGTACCAAGCGCGCTCTCCTAGAGACTGCCATTAAACATCTGTTGGATATTAAGGCCATACAGCCCGTGCCACCTTTCAACGAGGAGAGGGATTCTATTCCCTCCTCTTTCTAGTCCCTAAGCACTCTGGGGGTTGGAGGCCCATTTTGGATTTAAAAAGGCTCAATCGTTATATTGTTCATCATAAATTCAAAATGCATACTCTTCAGTCCATCCTACAGGGCACCAGGGAAGGAGACTGGCTCACTTCCATTGACCTCTCTGAGGCATATCTTCATATACCCATTCACCCTTCCTTTTCTAGATATCTGAGATTTTATTACAATGGCTGTCATTATCAATATGTAGCCCTTCCCTTTGGTTTAGCCTCGGCTCCCAGGACCTTCACCAAGGTTTTGGCAGCCTTAGCAGCTCACCTCAGACAACTCCCTGTCCGTATTTACTGCTATCTTGACGACATTCTCATTCTTTCTCCAACCCAAAGCCAAGCTGAGGGGGACACCAGAACCACTCTTTTAGTACTTCAGGATCATGGTTTCCTTGTAAATTGGGAAAATAGCCAGCTTACCCCTTCCACTCGAATAGTTCATTTAGGGGCGGTGATTGATTCAGTTGAGAGAAAGGTTTTCCTCTCCCCGGAAAGGTTTGCTAGCATTCAAAATTCGATTAAGGCCATCAGGTGGGCAAAGAAAGCTTCATTACTGGACCTATCTAAATTGCTTGGGAAAATGATCTCATGTATATCCATTGTTCCCTGGGCCCGATTTCATTCCAGGTCCCTTCAATAGTTCCTGCTACCTTATCAACGCTCAAGAAGGAGCAATTCAAGATTCGTAGTAAGGCTCCCTCCAAAGGTTCTCACCTCGCTACTCTGGTGGACCAGACCCACTACCAACAAAGGGCATCCGTTCAAAAAACCCCAGAGAGTCACCCTCACAACAGACGCCAGCCTAACAGGTTGGGGGGCCCACCTTCGTTCGCTGTCAGCTCAAGGAACCTGGTCAGTAAATGAGCGCTCTTGCAGCATAAATTGGTTAGAGCTCCACGCAGTATATCTGGCATTACACACCTTTCTTCCTCAAGTTCGAGGGCGTCACGTCTTGGTCTTGACGGACAACACTACGAGCAAGGCCCACATCAACCGGCAGGGGGGCACTCACTCCATCAGGCTCATGAAAGAGGCTGAACGGATCTGTCAATGGGCGGAGGCCAATCTGCTATCCATAAAGGCGGAGTACATCTCGGGGGCCTCCAATGTTCAGGCAGACTGGTTGAGCAGAACCGTCGCCGACCAGTCAGAATGGCGCCTGCATCCCTCCCTTTTCCGGGAGGCCTCAGGGAGGTTTGGGTTTCCGCTAGTGGACCTGTTTGCGTCCCCATCCAATGCCCAGACACCGAGGTTTTTCTCCCAGTACCCCACCCAGGGGGCCGAGAACCACGATGCCCTGCATTGCCCTTGGCCCACGGGGCTCCTATACGCTTTCGCCCCCCTACCACTGCTGCCCAAGGTGATCCAAAAGGTAATCCTCGAGAAAGCGGAACTTCTTCTGGTGGCCCCATATTGGCCCAGGAGGCCCTGGTTTGCAGACCTTCGCAACCTGTCAGTGGCTCCTCCTTGGAGGATTCCACCGGACAAGATTTCGCTGTCCCAGGGACCTCTTCAGCATCCGAATACACAATGGCTTCAGCTGACTGTTTGGAGGTTGAGCGGGACCGTTTAAGGAAGGAGGGCATGTCCGATCTGGTCATCAACACTATTCTGGCAGCCAGGCGGCTTTCAACCACTCGCATATACAATGCCACCTGGAACATATTTTGTAAGTGGTGCCACAAGTTACACATTAATCCGATCTCTCCATCAATCGCACAAATTCTGGCCTTTTTACAAGAAGGATTGGGCAAAGGTCTTTCCCCCAACACTTTAAGAAGGCAGGTGGCGGCCCTATCTACGGTTATCTCTGGCAACCTGTCTGGCCCGCTTTCCCACCATCCTCGCATTAGAGCCTTTCTTAGAGGTGCCACTAATTTGCACCCTCCAGTAGTTCACAGATACCCGACCTGGGACTTCAACAAGGTTCTCTCGGCACTAACTAAGCCCCCCTTTGAGCCTCTAAGAGAGACATCACTCCAACTCCTCACGCTCAAGGTGGTTTTTCTTGTGGCAATTACATCGGCTCGTTGGATATCTGAAATAGCAGCTCTATCCGTTAGAAAGGAGTTCTGCGTCTTCCATGCTGATCGGGTGGTCCTGCAGCCAGATCCCTCCTTCATGCCCAAGATAAACTTAGCCTTTCACAGATCACAGGAGCTTGTCCTTCCTAACTTTTGTCCAAGTCCTTCTCAAGAGAGAGAAAGGCAATGGCATACTCTCGATGTTAGATGGGCGCTCTGTATCTATATCAGTCGCACTCAGCCTATCAGGAGGTTGGAGGCTTTGTTTTTATCTTTTCAACCAAAGATGCTGGGCTGCAAAGTTTCCCCGTCTACTGTTGGCCGTTGGATTAGAGCTACAATATCCAAGGCCTATTTGTCACAGGCGCTTCCTGTTCCCAGTGGAGTAACCGCTCACTCTACAAAGAGTGCTGCTACTTCTGCAGCCTGGGCTACTCAGGCTCCTATTCATGATATTTGCAGAGCGGCTACCTGGTCGTCTCCATCTCCATTTATTCGCCATTATAAAATCGATGTTTTTGCCTCGGCAGAAGCCTCCTTTGGCAGACGAGTCCCTGAGCAAGTGGTGAGAGATCCAGAACATGCTCCGAGCCAGACGGAGTCCCCCCCGTAGGACAGGCCATGCTTTGGTATGTCCCACTCTCTGGATGCTCGGAGCAGCTCAATTGAGAATGGGCTTTGGTACTTACCTGACACGCCATTTCTGGTCGAGCTGCGTAGAGCATCCAGCCCCACCCTATTTGGTCTGTCTGGTGGGGAATCCTGTTTCGGCCAACAATTCATATTGGTTTTTTTTGTAGTTAAGTGTTGTTTATAGTTAAGATGAGGGGATAGTTGTTTGTCTTCTCGTCTTCGTAAAAACTGGGGAACGCATGGAGAAGCCACGTGGTGGGAGGAGCGTTCCTCAATTATAGCTCAGCCTGCAATTGGTGAAGACTAGAGCACCTCCCATTCTCTGGATGCTCTACGCAGCTCGACCAGAAATGGCGTGTCAGGTAAGTACCAACGCCCATTCCAGAGTGCTGAAATAGATCACTAAATTGTATAGCTATATACTGCAATTCCAGAAGCGGTAGCAATATTTACAGCTACCAGGATACAATTTGGCCCCTCTACACATGACAGCTACTGCCAAAATTGTGGCATGCGGCTGAGCACAAAGTGACTTGTTCCACTGGTATGGAAAGTTTCAGAGCTCTTCAAAAGGTAAGTGAGGAGGAGTGTGTGGGGCTTGGTGGAAAGGGAATCAGGCCTAAAGCTATCAGGGAGCCATTCGGGGAGGGAAATGTTTGCAGGGACCCTGTGGCGGAGGTATGAGAGAAGACAGGCGCATAGTGCTGCAGCATCCCTGCAGTTGGTTATAAGGGCAAATGAAAGTTGGAGTGCTGCAGCGGCCGTATCTATGGGGCTGGTTGTAAGTAGTTTTTGTGGGAGTCCGCTGTAACTTTGAACAATGGTTAAGTTGTAAGTCGAAAACCACTTGTACTTTAGCAAAAAGGAACTTTTATAAGATTCTTTTATGGTCACAGTGCGCTTGGGGTTTAGAAATATTAATATAACAATAATCATCTATAACCTTGGAACAGATTTCAGAGGCAGCCCAAGAACATTGTTGTGGTTATGATTCTGTCATGAATAGCACTTTGCAATGAATATTGGCTAATTGTTGAATTGTGTTTTGTTTCAGAATCTTCATCACAAACATCTCTTTCTTTCACTGTACCTTCAGAAGAAGACAGTGTATTATTCAACAAACTGTTATACCTTGGATGTATGAAAGTTTCTGCTCCCCGCAGTGAAGCAGAGGCCTTGTGTGCCATGGCAACTTTGAAAAACTCAAATCATTCTCCATCTCCTGTAACTCTTTATGTTCCAAATATTCCAGATGGTTCTGTTAGGTGAGCCGGGTGTTTCTGTTTGTGTATATGCAAGATATCCAAATAAGTTTAAGAACAGGACAGGAATGGATTCCCGATTCCTTCTGTAGGAACTTGAAGTTGCTCAGTAGAATCTTTTGTTTTCTGTTTTGAAGATCATATCTAATTCCCATCTTTCTTTCAAGTTCGTCAAATGTTGCCTGGATGTTTGCAGTGTATAACTGATAGCAGATAGCTGATTAGGAAAGCAGGTGCTTTAGTTCCAATCTAGACATAATGCAAAAGGATATTGGCACTTGCAGCAGCTTTATAAGCTCAAGTGGGGTGTTTTTTGGAGCAGAGCTGTTCTAGATTTGGTTTCATGATCTAAGGAGCTCTTTCCACTTTTACTAGATTAAGAACTATAGTGAAATTTAAGATATGATGTATGAAAATAATACGTGTGAAATAATACTTTTCTATCGATATTAGTTTTACTGTGAAATAACTTGATGGATTTGAAATTGTACAAAACTACAAAGGAAAGGTTTATCAACAACAGAGGTCTTGATGATATTATGTCACCTACTCAATCATAGACTATGTTATATATGTTAGTTATAGTTGCTACCAGAAGAGCTAGTTCTCTTTTTCGCCATGCTTATAAGTTCTGAATGTGACATGCGCTGCTGGATTAGATGGGGCTTTTGGCCTCATCCAGTGAAAATTTTCTTTCTGTTCGTGTACTAGCAGCGACTAAACAAGAACATCATGCATGGGGGTGGCTCTGTATGATCTTTCTGATAAATCTCATGGGAAACAATGGTGTCAAAAACTGAAGGAAAGAAATTAAATTTCTATTTTCTTTCCTTTTCTTTTTCTTTCTTTTCTGTATTTTTTCTTTTTCTTCATGTCTACTACAGGCGATATATATATATAGTGTGTGTGTGTGTGTGTGTGTGTGTGTATATACACACACACACACACACATACATGTTTTCTTAAGTTTTCGTGGGTACCTACATGTATGGTATTCAGACGAACACAATACAGAAGCCGGATGATGGCAGATGAGATTCTGCCGAAATGTTGCTGCAACTTTATAAGCACAACTATAATGACGTGGGGAAATACCCAAACAAAGCTGAATACCATATCTGTATCTATATCTATATCTATATCTATATATCTCTATATCTCTATATCTATCTAACTTTGGTTATTCGGGTTTTCTCCTGTGTAAAATTGGAAGTATCCTGGCGACATTTCGACGAAATCTCATTCGTCATCTTCAGGCTTGTGTCTTCGGCTTTGTGCTTCTCGGAGTAATGTGAGCTTGCAGCTGTTTCTTCCTTTTACCTGCTAGTGGGGGTGTGACTTGATTGGGTGGGGGCTTGGCTGTGTTCTGATTGGGTGGGGGTGTGTTCTCATTGATTGGGGGTTTGGCTGTGTTCTGATTGGTTGGAGGGTTGGCTGTGTTCTGATTGGCTGGGGGTGTGTTCTGTTCAGGTGGGGGCTTGGTTGTGCTCAGGTTAGTCTTAGTTGCTGGGGGATTTGAACTGGTGAGCTGTGATCCTGTTGTTTGGCTTCGAAAAACGCCCACACAGCATGAATAAATGAGATGATACCTCCCGCCTACCAGCCATTTAGAAACCCGCCCTCATTAATAAACGAGTACCTAACATGAAGAATGACACCAGACCTACACCCACGAGGGCCACACAAGATGCTACCACCACACTTGCACATAGCAAGCAGACTCACACCCACACAGATGATGAGACACGACCACGGACCAGAAACCGTACCGCAGCTACATCACTACCCGCTTCAAACCCCTCCGACCCATACATGAAGCGAATGGACACCCACCATGAAGATGTGGCACGACCACGAACGCGAAGCCAAACAACAGGATCACAGCTCACCAGCTCAAATCCCCCAGCAACTAAGACTAACCTGAGCACAACCAAGCCCCCACCTGAACAGAACACACCCCCAGCCAATCAGAACACGGCCAACCCTCCAACCAATCAGAACACAGCCAAACCCCCAACCAATGAGAACACCCCCCCACCCAATCAGAACACAGCCAAGCCCCTACCCAATCAAGTCATACCCCCACTAGCAGTTAAAAGGAAGTAGCAGCTGCAAGCTTATATTACTCCGAAAAGCACAAAGCCGAAGACACAAGCCTGAAGATGACGAATGAGTTTTCGTCAAAACGTCGGCAGGATAGTTCCAATTTTACACGGGAGAAAACCGAATAACCAAAGATCCACATACAAATACCCGCGAAAACCTCAGAAAAGATAGATAGATAGATAGATAGATAGATAGATAGATAGATAGATAGA